TCCCATGCAGCTGTTCCCGTGCAGCTGTTCCCATGCAGCTGTTCCCATGCAGCTGTTCCCATGCAGTTGTTCCCATGCAGCTGTTCCCATGCAGCTGCTCCCATGCAGTTGTTCATTCCCATGCAGTTGTTCATTCCCATGCAGTTGTTCCCATGCAGCTGTTCCCATGCAGCGGTTCCCATGCAGCTGGTCCCATGCAGCTGTTCCCATGCAGCTGTTCCCATGCAGTTGTTCATTCCCATGCAGCTGCTCCCATGCAGTTGTTCCCATGCAGCTGTTCCCATGCAGTGGTTCCCATGCAGTTGTTCCCATGCAGCTGTTCCCATCCAGTGGTTCCCATGCAGTTGTTCATTCCCATGCAGCTGCTCCCATGCAATTATTCCCATGCAGTTGCTCCCATTCAGTTTTTAAGGTGTTGTCAGAGGGCAGGGGTGGGAAGGAAGGCCAGAGATGGGCTGGCTCTGGGGTCCAAGGGGGTGCTGAGTGTACCCCACAAAGCCCTGGTCTGCTGCCACTGAGGGTTTGATGTTTAATCAGGGAGTTCTCATTTTATGCAGCAAGAAGATGGACTTTGCTGAAATAAATGAGGCACAGCTCCCTGAGAGACCTGATGAGAATGCAGTGTGTCCTTCAAGGCTCCTCCCATGAGCAATGGTCTGGTGGAGGCAGATCATTGATGGTCTGGGGGTGCTTCTCTCCCTGGGCTGGGGCACGGCTGTGCTGAGGCTGTGGGTGCTGACCAGAGCCAGGTGATTGCAGTGCCCTGCCAGGCAGGAGCCAGCTCAGCACCACAGGCCCCTCCCTGCCAGGGCACCCACAGCACCATCAGCCTGATTAATGTGCCCAATAGAAATAAAACAAATGGAAATTTTTTTAGATTATACAGTACACTCATAAATATTAATGCACTTTAGTACTGAATTGCGTGTAATTACATATTTATACATTTAAGTCACCTTCCTGATACACTTAAGGCACTTTACTGATGAAAGATATCTCTGAAAGAGAAGGTTTTAAACTGTGCCTAATATGTTTGTAGGATTTACTGAATAATGTGTGAGCTTGTATGCTGGCAGGAGAGGAGAAAAACCTCCATTAGAGACTGAAAGTGTTCATGGGCTCTGCTCAGGCTGAATCCACTCCTTGGGTAGTGCTGAAAAATCTGTCTCGACATGAAATATTGCTACATCTTCTTATCTATGTAGATAAGGTCTGTGCAGTCCTGTCACCTTAGAGTAATTACAGCTTATTACTCTAATCATGATGATGCCTGAAGACTGTAATTAAGATTGTGCTGGCTAATGTACTAGCACACGGCATGGTACAGCTATTGTCCTATCTAAACAAGGCAGAGATAAAAATGGGAAGAGGGAGAAAGGGCAGAAGTGGGGAAGTGATTTATGCAGGGCTGTGGTTCCCAGCCAAGCCCTGCCTCCAGAGAGCCTGGGGGCTCCACGGGGCAGAACCTGAGACAAGCCTGGGGGAATCCATCAAATCAGAGGGGTTTGGGAAAGCTGCAGAAGGCAGCCCCAGAGACAGCAGAACTGGGATTGGAGCAGCAGCCATGAGATTGGTCAGCAGAAAAATTATGAAAGAAGCAGAAAAGTAAGGACAAATGGAACAATGGTCTGTGTATTAATGTTTTTCTAGAATAACTCTCTAAGCTGCAGAGAAGTTTATCTAGTGAGATATTAGGGAGTTCTAAGCTTAATAATGGAGCTCTGTGCATTGTGTTTAAAGGCTCACAAGCAGGTATTGTATTTGAAATAAGCAAGCATTGTTTAACCAAAGGTACCTGTGCTTATAGTGGTTGGATAGAACTACTGTCAATGTGCTTCTGCTTTGTGGGATTGGGCAAAAAACTTTTAAAGTGAGTTGTGACATTGAGTTCTTGGTCTCAAGACCAAGAACTGCCTGGGATGTGAGCTGCTGGCAGCTTCCCATTGCCATAACCATGGAATGAGGCTGATGCTGGAAAATCAAACAGCTCAAGGCACGTTCCCAGCAGTCCTGTCCCGTTTTTGATTTGTACTTTGACCCCAGCTGGGGGTAAATCCCAGGCAGTTTCCACCTCAAACACCAGGAGAACATCCTGGGAGAGCTCTATTCAAGCTACTTTTAATGCATCTTGTCCACCTGTGTCTAAGTTTTATTCTTTTACCATGTCCTCTTGCATATCCTCATCTTGTCTGCAGATAAAGAATTATTTAACACAATTTAACACACATTTCTATGCACACATTTATTTTCAGGCCAAGTCGTGTCTCTGTTGAAATCCATGAGAGGCTCAACCCCACAGGTCCCTCCCAAGGGGTTTGATCCCCAGAGCTCTGTAGTGTCAGCTGGTGAAAAGCAGACAGCTCTTCTGGAGGAACAGGGCTGTCTAAACACCAATCCTTATGGCTAAATTTCACAGCAAGCCCACCCACCAAACAGGATTTAAGGTCCCTTTCACAAGCCAGGCACATCTGGAGCTCCTTGGTGTCTTTTTGCTTTGAGCAGAAGAGGAACATTCCTGAACTTTGAACACTCCTGCCAGTGCTTCCTTCTGCCTTGGGAGGTGCCTTTCCCTCCAGGCTGGGGAAGGCTTTGTGCATTTGGTGTCCCTCATCTTGCCACAGGTGTGTGAGCAGATTCCTTCCTGCCAGCTCTCCTGGGCTCCAGGTTCTTTAGGTGTTTCTGGCCATTTGTGAAGCCTCGTGCAGTTGTGTGGAGCAAGGGCTCTGAGGAAGGGTCATCCCAGGTACATCCTCAGTGATCTCCTGAGTCTGACCCATCTCCCACCCCCTTAAAGCTAATAGGACCAGTTATTTCTTGATGGAACTGCCTGGCCCCTTTAGACATTTTATAAGCTTCTGGAAGGCTGCCACTGTTTCATTTAGATCACTCACAGCTGGGAGAAAAATCCCACAAAAGCTACTTAGTCATTAGAAGAATTTTTTTTTTCTCCAGAAAGTTTCCCCTTTGTTCACTCCTTCAGCCTTTCACATTTACAGTAAATCCTCTTGAATAGTATTTATGTCTACAAACATGAGCTCTGTGTTTTAACAGAAGTCTTTGCTGGTATAATGTTCTACTCATAAAACACTGGAATTTTTTTTATGCTGAAAAAAAGAATGGTCAGCATCATGATAGCTATCCAAAGTTACAAATCAGTTCTAACATAAAATATCTGCTGTTTTATAACCTGCCCTTGCTGTCCAGGAGGTCCAGGGGTGTTTGTGGATGCTGTAGTTTTACAAAGCTGTTGATGGGGAGCACTGGTGAAGTGATTACTGCACTTGAGAATTTGCCTGCCTGCATTTATAGTGTGCAGCTAAACCTAAAACCTTCCTGGGAAGGGAGGCAGAAGGTGTGCTGAGCAAAAAAGGGTTGTTCCTGCTTTTAATTTCCTTGGGCAGCTCCACAGGATCCCTCTGCTTGTGCACAAGGAGATCCCAAAGCATTTTAGGAAGATCAGTGCTAACCCTGAGCTCTTTCTCAGTAGGGGCAGGGAGGGACCAGTGAGCAGACACTGGAGGTTTCTTAAATTACTGTGTTGTGGCTAAGGATGCTCCAATTCTCTTTCATGAGGTTGGACAAGGCTCCTGACATTTTGGATAGGAATTCCACTGTGAAGAAAAGCCCTGGGAAAAGTTCTGTGGTGTCTTAGGTGAAGAAAAGGTAGAAAAAATGTCTTATAGCTTCTGTTCATTACTCTTATCTTTAATGCCTGTAAAATCATTCCCTTTGCTAAATATCAAATTTGAACAATGACTGTCTTCAGTTTAATTAATCATCTCATTGGTTTCAGTTATGAATTTTGTGAAGCTCTTGTGTTTTAGAGAGTCATTTAGGGAGCAGTCTTTAATTAAAGCCAAACTGCTTTTTGCCTTTAGGCATGTTTTTTGCATAAAAAGGTGCCATAATTTGAATTATATTCTCCTGAGCCTCAGTCTTTATGTGACACAGGGCCCAATAGCCCTTCCTGCTGTCAGTTATAATATTAAGTGACTGTAAACAACAGCTGAAAGGCTCACAAGATTACCCAGCACCTTGTGGTGGGCATGGAAGCTTCTGGCCCAAGCCAGGCACGTTAGCAGAGAGTGCTGAGAGCACAGCCCTGCTTCAGCCACCTCCCCTCCCAGGGCAGCACCAGACCCACTGGGCAGCTCCAGGAGTGGATGTGACTCTGCACATTGCATTTATTGGATGCAGAATCTGCACTGTAATTAACATCCTCTCAATAGCTTCTCATTCTTCTCTCCTAATGAATTCTCCAGCCTCCTCTTCCTCTGCCTATAATTCTGTGCTGTTGAAAAAGATTTGTTTCAAGTAGCATTTATCTGAAATGAAAATAGGGATTCTGTGTGTTGCAGGTTATTTGTAAGAAAACAGCTGTGGGCTAAGTGACACAACTCACAATTGTGTTACAGGAGTGGAGTATTTTTATAGACAGACATTGATTCTGGGGGTTAAAGGGTCAGTGACAAAGTTTTCAAATACAAGTTGCTTTTTTCATGCACTTTTCACCCCTCTCCCTGAGACTTGGAAGTCTACTGCTTAAGTCAGGCTTGAGGGAAGCATGCCCTGAAGTCAATGGAGATTCATTGGCCCTAATTGGATTTAGGTCAGCTCGTGCCTTGGCTTCTCAAATACAAGAAATAATAAGAATAAATATTGAAAAGTCAAGCATTGTTTAGATCAAAGCAGATTGTTAATTTAAGCATGATAAACAAATGCTGCCTTCTAAATGTGTGCTCTCTTGATACATGAGATGCTTATGAGAATTGAGGTTGGCTGTATGAAGTCTCAAGGGGGATGTGTCTCCTTCCATGCATTCACTTCATCCTGCCAATTTTATTTAGCATTTTCCTATCTTTTGATTCAGAGGACATCAGTGAAGGGTGGGTTTGTTCCTTTTCTGGTGACTGCAGCATTGCCCTGAGAGTGCTTTGAGGACACCTGCAACCAAACCAGGGCTGTTGTTTGACCACGGTGTTTTTCTCCTCCCTCTGCAGAAGGACATAGCTCTGAAACCTCAGGAACGTGTGGAGAAGCGACAGAATCCTCTAGCCAAGAAGAAAAGGGAAGCACTTACCAATGGGCTGTCATACCTTCCAAAAAAGAACAGGCTCCACCACCACCAGTACAGCTCGGACCGGGAAAATGACCGAAACCTGTGCCAGCACCTTGGGAAAAGGAAGAAGTTACCCAAGGGCCTCAGACAGGTGGGAGACAAGTTCCCTTCTGCGGGGAGGGAGGGCTCTGCCCGTTGGTTCATGGTATGTAGAAGCCAATTTCTCATTTTGTGGGATTTTTTATTTTAATGCTTTTGTGGTTGTTTCGGTTTTGAGCTCTTGGCTGCGACGTGGTGCAGTGTCCTACCACTGAAATGGGAGAGCAAGTGGTGCATCTGATTAATAAAGGTGTAAAAGTGAGAAGAGCTTTCCACAGGCTGGCTGTGAGACTGTCAGGGCAAACAAATGAGGTGTCTCTGTGGGTGCAAGGCCAATTTTGTCCTCTAAAGACCTTCTTGTCTTCAGGCTTTGTACACTGTAGAGAGCCCTCTGAACACCCAGGGTGAGGTGAGGCAATTGCAAGAAGGGCAGCTGTTAATCAGGGCAAAGCTGATTAGAGTGTGAGGAGCTCGTTTGTGAGGTGTCAGTGGTGCTGGTGTCTGCTCCCCTGGGTTACTGATCACCCACCCTGAGCAAGAATGTCTGCCTTCCCAGCTGTGGTGGGAGTGAGCAGGCAACAGCCAGGATTGCAAAGCTGCAGGCTGAAAACATTGGATTTGTCTTCATGACTGTGCACTGTTGTGTTTGTTGTGCTTTTTAAGGAAGAAAGTGTGACAAGTGTGATTTCTATGATGCTGATGATAGTACATAGTAATAGGGACTAGGTCAGCTTTTGCCTGTATTTGAGTGATATTAATGACTCTTGAACCAAAATTTAAACGTTTAATGGTTGATATTCATGGAATCAGTTTTCATCCTTGTTTAGTGCAGACCAAACCTTGCTTTGCAGAGAAACTTGTAGCAAATAGTGAGAATTCACTGCTTCTCATTTTGTGAGTTCAGGGAGAAGGAAGGAACATTGAGGATGACAAGTGTGCTGAGTTGTATTCAATTTTGATATGCAGAGTTAGAGAAGCTGGGAAGAAATAGGTTTTCATGATAATTTTGAAGCCTATATGTTAAGCTGTATATAGGAATATAGTAAGAGATTATACAGTTCTTTAGCAGAGCAAAGAAATTGTAAAATGCCTGTTCCACACTATCAGCTGTTAAAGGTGTTTCTTCTGATTTAATTTTACTTGGTATTTCAAAGGAAGGTGGGGAAAATTCTTCAGGATAGCAGATGCAATGATTCCATTACCAGAAGATATTGAAGGTTGCTGTGTTTCCTTGACTGTTTCCTGTGTTCACCTCTGTGGGCTCTGTTTTGGTCTGTCAGACTGATTGTGTGCTCTGAGAACTCTCCTAGTGGGACCTAATGCCAGGTGGAACCTTTCTGCCCAGAATTTCATGTGTGAAGGAAATTGCCCATCCTGCTGATGGAGATGATTTGTGAGGTTGTGGTTTTGGGAATGAATATGCATTGGCTTGGAAGGTATTGAGTTGACAAATGTCATGGAAAATGCTTTTCCTTTGAGCTGATAAATCTGAGTACTCTGCCTAATTCCTAAGGCATAAGACTGAGAGGAAAGAAAGTATCTTGCTCAATATAAATGTAATACATTTGGTAGGGTAGAGCTTCTCAGATAAGAACATTCAAGTCTTATGAACAGTTTAGGTGCTGACAAACACATACAGCTTTGGCACTTAACATGGAAAAAAGATGTCATGGAAAAGACTGCAGAGTTTGGAAAGACATGCATAAAAATACAAAGAGTTTTGGGTAAGCATTTTCTGACCTCTTTCAAGACAAACGGTGAAGAGCACAAAAGCAGGAGGAGATTGTTAAGTTCTGAGCACGTTTTTTTTTTCTGATCATGTTACACTCTTCCTCCTCAGAGACTCTAGGCTGCACCCCTTGGGCTGCTTTCCCCACCCAGGTCCATCCCACTGAATCCCTGGGCTCCTGAAGGGGAAGTAGATTTGCTTGTCAGCCTTCTCTGACAGCAGTGACCAAGAGCTGGGGCCACTGTGCTTTGTGTGTGACACAGCAGGAGTGCCCTCTCCTAAAGTTCAGGAGGCTTCTGCATGTATACAGTGTCCTTGCTATATTAGGGCTTTAGATTTGATATACAAACAATTTATCCTTCCTCTCCTGTCCCTGGGGGAATCCTGGACTGTCACCTGTGGTTACTGTAACTGGATTGGCAGGATGCAATCTCAGAGCTGTCACTTGCATTCCTGTGCTGGCATAAGACCTTGGCTGCAGCCTGTCCTTGCTGGGAAACATTTCATACCTGGAGAGCTCACTCATAGTTTCTCCAGTGGTTAACAGTCCTGTTGGATATGCTTTCCTGTGAAATCTGTTATCTGCTGGAAGTAACTCTCACTGCAGGATTTAGGGTTTGAAGCTCCCTTGTCAAACAGATTAAGTTGAAGTCAGCTATTGAAAGCATTGCTAATTAGTTTTCAGAGAAAATCCTTGCAGTATTCATGCAGGTATTTATCCAGCTCTGCTGAAATGCCTACAGGTTTATTGAAATCCAGAAAATGTGAAACTGTAGGTTAATTAAGGCTCATATTTTACTAGCAAGAAGACTTTTGAACTCTGCTTTGTGAGCTTTTATAAATGTACTTATTAAATGCCTCAAGGAAATTTTAGTTGGCGTTAAGCAAACATAAGACTCATCAGAATATTTCTCCAGCTTTTTAAATTTAATTTCCTTTACGTTAATTGGTGATGGCATGTTTTTATGTGCTTTCTGTAAAAATCATTTGGAAATCTTAAAGTGAACATTTTTAAAGTAGTAAAAGGGTGGCAAACATTTTTAAATGGGTTTTAATGAGATTTTATTCCTCGAGGTCTGAGCACAGTGGGGCATACCAGGAAACAATGAGCTTTCAGGGCAGAAGGAGTGTTGAGAGTATTTTGATAATGAGGGGGAAGGATCATTTCTCTTTGTTCAGTGGGTGTGTGATTTGAAAGGAGCAGAAGACACTGACTCGTGCTACCTCCACCATTTCCTTCACTGTTTTTCTTCATCTGGTGGGAGGTCCTTGCATCTTCTTGCAGAAGAGGATCATCTCTGGATATGCTTCTAAAGCAGCCATGTGTGTGTAGGGCAAGGAGTGCCTTGGCTGGCTCATGTGTGCACAAGAGCCAGCAGCTGCTGGGCTCTGCCTTCACCACCTGAGTCCAGAAACGCTTCCAGAATATCAAATCCCAATCCCAGATACTGCAGGAGTGCAGAGAAGGAGACAACTGGTAATAAATAGGAGGCGGATGATAAATAGAGGGAAGAAAACTCATGATGGAGAAATGAATTGGGAGGTAAATTATAATGAGATAAAGGCAAAATGGCAAGAACAGCAGCAGAAGATACCCTGCTGACTCTGGCAGTCCCCAGCTACAGGTGTTATAAACCACTGGCTTTCACCTCGTGGTCCATTACATGAATCAATTAAAGGGGAGGGAGGGGAGTGCTGCAGCTGTTCCATCTCAGAATCAAGTCCACGATTCCCTTGGCAGTCTCACCCTCAATCTACACATCCTAAATTTGAGACTGCTGAGCCTTTGTGTGGCTGATGTGGACAGCCATCATTGTCCCCTGCCATCCCCACTCGAGAGCACCGTGTGGTTCTGTGGTGATGCAGTGCCAGCACTCTCGTCCCCTGCTGCAGAGGTGCTCGTGAGCCTCAGGGCAGCAAAGCAGCGCTGCAGAGGGGGAAACACCCGTGTGGCTGAGCCTGTCCTGGGCCAGGGTGCCTGCTGCAGCTTCAGCCCTGCTGCCCAGGGTGCTGCTGCAGCTCCCAGCACCCAGGGTGCCTGCTGCAGCTCCCAGCATCCAGGGTGCCTGCTGCAGCTTCAGCCCTGCTGCCCAGAGTGCTGCTGCAGCTCCCTGCATCCAGGGTGCCTGCTGCAGCTTCAGCCCTGCTGCCCAGGGTGCTGCTGCAGCTCCCAGCCTTGCATCCAGGGTGCCTGCTGCAGCTCCCAGCCTTGCATCCAGGGTGCCTGCTGCAGCTCCCAGCCTTGCATCCAGGGTGCCTGCTGCAGCTCCCAGCCTCGCAGCTCCCAGCCCTGCAGCCAGGGCAGTTGGTGCAGGTCTCAGCCCTGTTGCCCAGGCTGCCTGGTGCAGCTCCCAGCCCTGGGCCAGGGTGCCTGGTGCAGTACCCAGCCCTGCATCCGGGGTGCCTGCTGCAGCTCCCAGCCCTGCATCCGGGGTGCCTGCTGCAGCTCCCAGCCCTGTTGCCCAGGGTGCCTGGTGCAGTTCCCAGCATCCAGGGTGCCTGCTGCAGCTCCGAGCATCCAGGGTGCCTGCTGCAGCTCCCAGCCCTGTTGCCCAGGGTGGCTGGGTGGCTGGTGCAGCTCCCAGCCCCGGCGCTGCCAGCCCCGCTGCCCAGGGCTCCGGGCTGCCCCGCACGGCGCGGGGAGCGCAGCAGATGGGCCGCATTGTCACCGGCACTGTGATCCCGGCGAGAGCTCGCTGTGCTGACAAGCGATTTACAATGTGCTATTTACAGTTTGGGTTTGCAGGCTCTCAATGACATCTGAGTGCTCTTTAGCAACTGCTTTCATTACTCCTTTTCGAAGAGCTGCTAATTGAAAATGAAGTTGTGGGTGGGCTCTGGGAGAGCAGCAGCAGCTACGAGGACCATACACAGCCACAGAAATGTTTCATTTCTTGGACTCCCTACTGGAACTCTGGGCAAGGGATGAAATGGGGATATGTTTGTGCAGTGTGAGGTCAGACACCTTGGAAATCCTGCCTGCAGCACACATCACCCGGAGTGAGTGATAAAGGCTTGAACCTCCTTGAACACAGCTGCTGGGATTTGGGATTCCTGTACTGGCAGCCGGTGGATTTCAGTGACTATAAAACTTCTGAAGATCAGGAAGGAACCTGGGCTGTGAAACTACCTTGTGCAGGGCAGCACAGGGGGTTGGAAGCTGTATGTGGGATTTTTGGGCTGGTTTTGCACTGCTGGAGGTCTGGCTTTGTATCAAGTGACAGGAAACATCAGAACTGACTGGTAAAATGTGGGACAAAGTCACATACATGCCTTGGGAATAGTACCAGCCAGGATTGGGTCAGCAGGGATATGGCCACACA